TTCTGAGCCTGTAGCGGCATTGGGTGCGGTGCGGAATGGGGCTGCGGTGCAGCTACTCAGTCGCGCTGACAAGAGGCTGTTTCATGCACTTGCCTCACAGAAGAAGGATGAACGTGTGGCAGAGGCGAAGGAGCTGCAGAGAGTGCGGGATGCTCTGCACCCCTTCCATGTAGCGTGCCTTGCGCAAAGGTTGCCATGGGAAGTGGTTATTGAGTTGTTCCGTCGTGACGATGGGCCAACGCATACGACACTCGTTTTTCCTGCCTCTTACACCGAGCAGCTGATCCGCCACTGCCCGTCGTGGCACATGGCTCTGGAGCTAGTTAGACATTCACTGTCCAGGGTGCCGCGCCCGACAAGGATGCAGCAGCTGTTGGTACACTTAACCCTGCATCGGATGCACACAGACGCCCACGTGGGTGGGAGAGGGACAAACACGGCTGCCGCACCCGTGTGACACTGCGAGAGCAGACGGTGGCATGCTTTCCTGGAAGGTGGCTTGTTGGTGTTACAGCCAGTTGACGCAAGATCGGGCGGCGCCAGCGCTGCTACAGCGGAGTATTATTAAGATTCTGTGTCACTGTGTCTTTTGTCCTTCCTTCGCGTTTTCAATGTATGAAGCATACTGGAAGCAGGAGTATCGTCTTACGGAGGGGGTGAATGTGTTTCTTTCCCTTTTGCGGGGGCGGAACCCCTAGCAAAAAGCGAGGAATTGACCCTGCGTGCCATGTGGGACTACGTCCGCTGCTGCGATGAACATGACGGTATGATGGCATCTACAACGAGCTGGGGGTCTGTCCGGCACCACATGTTCACAGCAGAGGGAAACACAACCCTGTGTCGTTACTTCACACGCGGTGTCGTACCGTACCCAACCATTTACTGTGAGAACCCTTTTTAACAGCGTCGGCCTTCCCTCTGCAGTGGTGATGGGGGACGCGGCCCACACTTGCAATGCTTTTTGGTTGCAAGGCCTGGCGATTAGTCTCGAGGACTGCGTCAACCTACTGAACCAGGTGGATGCCTATTCCAAGCATTTTTACGATGCCATTAGACAGTACAGCCAGGAACGTGGCTGCAGCGGCGATGCTCTGCGGGAGATTACGGATCGCTGCTTGTACTATGAATGGGTGAAGCACATCAACCCGTTTGTGCGTCTCCGAAACAGTTGTCAGCGGGTGATGAACGCGATGCTTCTGCAGGCGCTCAACGAGTACTACACCGCAGCGTCAGTCAACCACGTCTACTCCAAGAGCCTGAAGAGCATGCTCAATGACCGGGGGTGCACCTCCTACGAGTATGCCGAGAAACAACAAGCAAAGCACCGCGCTTTCTATCACCTGGGAAGGGTGTACCACGTAAGAGGCACGTGTTGTTGGTGTTGTTTGTGCGGCGTCCTCACCGCGTCACGCATGTTTGCACCTTCTGCGTCGATGTTGCTCACCGGTGTGCATTCTTCTATCGTTTAGTGCCTGTCGCATGGGGTCGGGGCAGCAGATTTCCCCGCACCCACACTTTACGCTCCCACTCACGTTCAGTAGGCACATAACTCGACACCTAAGCGAGTGTGAGGTAACGAAAACGAAAAAAAAAAACACACACGCACTGTGTTGTCTCCCTTTATTATTGTTTTGTTCTTTGTCCTTTTCTTCCCTCCTTTCCTTGCTACTAACGACACAAACAGAGACGAGCGACGGCCCTCTGCGGAGGTAGTGGGGGAAAAAAAATAGGGAAGAGGGGAAGGAAGTTGCCATGTCCTCTGAGGGGTTCCGCTTTAACTTCGACGAAGGCGATGATGGTGGTAATGTGGCTTGGTTGCCTCCACCGTTACGTCGTAGAAGTCCCTCCGCAGACACTGGGGCAGTGCCCGCGGTGCTTGTCTCGCGGTTTCCCACGTACGCGTTGCGAGCGCAGCTGGTGAAGGAGTGGGCAGAGTGCTACCCGAAGGACCCGCGGCGCCGGATGGAGCTTGTGAGTAGTGCGGCTGGGAAACATTTTCCTCCCTTGCTGTACCAGCGTGCCCCCGATGTGTCGGGACTCACGAGTGATGGGGGCAATCTAGAGCGGCGTGACATTATCCCTGGAAAGTACTACGGAGGGTTGAAGGTGTGGTCGTGTGCGCCGTACCTGGTGGAGTACATGTTTGAGAACCGAGATACCTTCGGGCGTCTTTTTGAAGTCCCCGAGAAGTGCCTTGATACTTCCGCAAAAAACACCTCGCCGGAGTCGTTTGCGGAGAATGCCGTGGTGGCTCCTCTGGTTGCCGAGGTTGGCTGTGGACAGGGTCTTCCTGGCATTGCCGCGCTTCTCTTGGGGGCTCGACGCGTAATCTTTCAGGACTACAACGAGGAGGTGCTGCAGACTTGTGTCAAGCCGAACATTGCAGTTAATTGGCTGCGCCACGCGGAGGACGCCCCGTTGTGTGGGCTGCAGCCACCAGCCCCGCCCTTGGTGCAGATGGTCTCTGGCGACTGGAGCCACTTGCGGTGGGAGGCTGCCGGCGATGGAGGTACAGCGATGGCGCATGATGCGTGCTGCAGGGTGGTGCTTGGCAGTGATGTTACCTTTGACGAAGCTGCATGCGAGAAGCTTGCCGCGATGTTGGACCGCGGCCTCTCCCCTGCAGGGGGGGTGGCGTACATCGCCAGCAAGCAGTATTACTTTGGCACAAATGGTGGGGCGCTGGAGTTCCAAAAGCGCGCTGCAGATCACGGACTTGAGGTTGCTGAAGTGAGTCGCATGGATGAGGCTGGTGGAATGCAGCGACTGATCATGCGCGTGAGACGACGATGTGGATGACGCAGACGAAGCAAAAGAAAAATAAATTAACAAAAATGAGGTTGCGCGTGGTGGTGTTCAGGTTGGGGAAGAAAGGGCTGCCAAATATGACGGTAACGTCATGTTTGTTAATTTATGCGTTTGTGTTTGTTGTATTTGTTGTCGTCGTTCCTTCCCTTCCTCCTCCTTTGCTCTCTTTGCCTCTCGCCCTGGGCACAAGAGGTGTGGGACGTGGAGGAAACCACCAAATGAAAAAGGCAAGTAATGTAAACCCAGAAATAGGAAATGGAGAGGCAGAGCACGCAGTGGCAGTTCCCCCGCCACCGGAGCCCAGCTCGACTTCCATTACGCCGCCGCCGCCGCCGCCACCGCCACCGCCACCGCCACCGCCACCGTCACCGTCACCGCCGCCGCAAGAGCTTGATATTGGCCCCAAGGTTATAGTGGGGCTGTATGTTCTCATCTGCGCCTGTTTGACGGTTTCCATAGGGACGCCGTGGTTCGTCATGGAGCAGCACGCCGCGGGACCTATGGGAGAAAACGTCAAGGAAACATTTCAACTTTGGAAGACAACCCGCTGGGTGGGCAGCGCGCGTAAGAGCATAGAAAGTACATCTATTATCTGCACCCCAGAACGACGGCATGTGGTGGCGTTGCAGGTACTTTCGGTTGTGGCTCTTGGGTTAGCCCTCTTTACTCTTTTTCTCTCCGTGATGCGAGATCATTTTATGCAGGAAAGTTTCAAACTTAGGCTCATGCTTATTTATAGTGTTGCCATTTGCTTTATTGTCTTAACGGCGGAGTCGTCACTGGGGATTAACGTCTTTACGCGAAGCTTCGATGCTTGTGGCATGCGGTCAAGTTATCATTTACGCGCGTTTGAAGTTTATGTGGGATTCGCCTGCACTCTTACAGCCTGGGTGCTCAACGCCCTTGCGGGGGTGGTGGTGTACAACAAGGTTCCTTTTCCAATGGACGGACATGTTATCAGGTACGGCATGAATGCCTTTGCCATGCTTACCTTTGCTGCGTTTCTGTTTAGCTTGGTGGGGTGTCCAATCACCCAATGGTTTTACAAGGATACCACCAGGCGTACTTTGACAGAGACCCTGCTGTGGAAAGAACGTCGTAGCGTTCTCTGGGCAATTGGTCCCCACTACAATGTCACTGAGGTGAGGGAGCTCGGGTGTCGCTCTCTCATGTATGGCTTTCTGGCAGCCGAGGTATTGAGCTGCCTGACTATCCTACTCAGCGCCGCCACCTTTGTGATGGGGTTTTTCCTTGCCAAGGGTCTCTTTGGTTTTACGGGGTATGCCATGGTGCTTGGCTGCACCGCAACCGTGGTGGCCCTTATCCAGTGGGTGTTGTTGGTTGTCATTTACTCCGGTGAGTGGTGCTTCGGTGCTGTGGCGTATCGTCAAAAGAAGTACGTCTTGGCTTCCGGTTTTGCTCTCAGCGTAGCTGGATGTTTTGCCATGTGCTTTGCAATACTGCTGCTAGCATTTACCGAATACATCCGACGGAAGCACTTTCCCTCGCTAGGGCCCAACAAAGCCATGAGAGAGATTCTTGTGGAGATGTGTCAATAACAATTTGGGAATTTGTTTTCATTTCGTCCCCATGGTTGTTGTCTTCGTTGTTTGCTCGGGGGCCCGAGGGAGGAATGACCAAGCATTACTTCCCGACTGACCCGCGCACGCACGGACGCCGCGATATCTCCCAAATACCTCACTTCTTCTTCCGCCAGGAAACGCAACGTGTTTTCTCTTTGTTTTGTATAGTGGAAAAGGAAGGCGAAGAAGCCCTTGGCGTGAGAATAAGCATTGACCGCTCTTCCCGCCCGTGTGGCCGCTACACTGTTGCCGACGGATGGAGGAGGAATCGTTTACCTACGTCCTCTCCCCGGCCACCACCACCCAGGAATGCGTCCACCGCGTGGCGGAGGAAAAACTGCCTTCACTGGCGGAATCCATGGAATTCGCAGCGAAAACGGGCGGAACGCTGTTCATTGACTGCGAGGGACTCATCGACGATGTATTGCTAAGCTTCTGTCGGGTCTCGGAAGGCGTGAACGGAGGCAGGGCGCACGCACCGCCGGGCGGTGGTTTTTTACCTGCAACCACCGCCCCGCACTGCGCGAAGTCAGGGTCTTCGGCGCCGGCGCCCTTTCAGGCAGGCGCGTGGCTATATGTGTGGGAACAGTTTCAACGCGATATCGCTCGAGAAACACTGATAATTGACGGAACCCCTTGCAGTGACGCTTACGCCGCGTTGGAGCGCATAAAACGGTTGCTGAGCGACGCGTATGATGCAATGCCCGCGCGTTTTATCTCTGCGCAAACGTGGGGGTCCGCGGAAGAGCATGGGGATGGGGGGTTGAGGTCGCAGGTCTCCCATGCCGTTCGGGGGCTCCTGGGCGATGCGCAGCGATTTTGCAAAAAGGTGTGGAAGAAGGGAAAATTGGATGAAGCCGTTCGAACTGCCATTCTCGTAGCGCAGCAGGCCGTGATGGCGTTTCCGGTGGAGCTTTTGCATGCGCAATTTGGCGGAACCTCGCAAGCAGGCGCCGCTGGAGGAGATGACGCGGGATCGGAGGTGATTTATATTGGGGAGCCGTATTTGAACAGTCCGCAAGGCGATGGAGGGACGGCCCCTTCGACCGGCGGTGAAAGTCGAAGAATGGTTGTGCGGGTGGAGCGTCGAAACCAAGGACGCGGCCCAGCGTTTGTGCGCGTTGAAAAGTTTATGCATGTCTTTGCTGTGGATGGGTCCGCGAACGTGTCGACAAAGTTGCAGCTTTGGATCGTTATTGAACTCGGTTTTTTCACCAACGACAAGGTCGAGTTGAAGTGGGAGTGGCTACGGGCCCCCGGCCCTTCGCCTGCGCCCAACACCCCAGCGCCGGAAACGGCCGAAAAAGAGGAGTTGTAACGCAGTGGGAGCGGCGAGCTTGCACGCGCACAGATATATATATATGTGCTGATTTCTTTTTTTCTGCGGTGATTTAAATTGCGGGAGGGGGGCTCCGAGGCGGCGAAAAGCGCGCCCTGCGGCGGTGATCTTCTGTCCCACCTCCTCGCCCCGCCCCTCCTTCCCGGCGCATCCGCAACCAACAAGAAAGAAAGAAAAAATGCGCAGGCTTGAGAGGGAGAGGCGACGCATGCCCCCTACCATAGCGCAATTTCTTTTTCTAGGCACTGCCGCCTCGGCGCGGCCCGCATAGAGAGCATTAAAGAGGGGAAAGGAAGGTGGACAAAAACCGCGCGCGCACACACCGGCCGAAACCCCAAAAAAACCTGCGGGAGCCGCGCTGCGGCAGGAGGGAGGGGCCCGACGAGGCGCCAGCGGGAGAAAAAGCAATTCCGCACGGCAAACGAAGCCCGGGTTTCGGAGGCACCGCCGCCAATACGCGAGCGCAAAACCGGCACTTTTTGCAGCGACCGGGGCGAACCCCAAAAGCTGCAATACCAGCTGCTTTAAAGCAGGGTGGGCGTGCTGCGTTGGGCCTTCACCCGCCGCCCGCGAGCGGGAAGGCGCGGCCGGGAGTCGCCCCAAACTAGCCCCCCAGACGGCCGACGCAATAACGAGCATTGCGTTTGGAAGCCATAACCATTCCAACTCCGCACGCGCGGCCCCAGCGCGCTTCCGAACAGGAGCGGGGGCTGAAACCGAACTCCCCCACCGGAGCCGCCCTGCCACTCGGGCACGGGACTCGCCGCATCTCTGGCTGCCCTAAACGCTGACTCCTGAATGAGCGGCCCGAGAGCAGAGCAACCGCTTGGGCAGCACCCGCCGTTTCCCACATCACGCACAGCCCACCCAGCACGTGGTGCACCTGCAGGCGATAGGGGCATTTAACACGTTCTGGGTCCCCAGCAACACCGAAAGTAAGAAACCGCTGCAGTCGCGGTGGGGACGAAGAGCCGGGCAAGAAACGGTCAGGATGATATCCAAGATCATGTACGCGGGGCCAGTTGAGTGGGTGGAGATGCGTTGGGCCAGTGCAAACACTGCAATCGTACAGGGG